CAGGTCAAGCCAAAGGACAGGCTTCCCGCCCAGACGAAATGTGGGTGTTCGTGCGTCCAATTTTCATTTGCCGTACCGGTGCTGACAAGAAAGATCATACGCCTGCTGTGGGGGCGCAGTGCGATGCTTTGCAGAAAGGCGTCATGCACGCACGTGCTGTGGAGCAAGTTTGTGTGTAGTACAGGGATGTGTGTGGAGGTAGGGCGAGATGTCCTGATGACGTCTGTGCTACGTTGGTTTACGGAAAATTCTTGTGAATGGACACATGGTCGAATATGTGTACGAGATATCCAAATGTCTTGGGCCGGTATGAACAAGGGAAACGGAAAGGAAGGGCATGTTTAAGGCCCCTGGAACTGGTTCGCCGGACCCAGTGAGAGGGAAGGATTCGCAAGTAAACGACCAGATCAGTGTGTGACTCGAGGATACGATCAGAATATGATCAGTTTGGAACTGATTTCACACTTATGTTGGGAGAGAACGTGGTAATGATGGAGTGGGTGTCCCCACAGGTGATGATGGTAGTGTTTTGTAAGAAGGGGGCCGAGCCGGTCGTGTTAACATGGAACAAACTCCGCAGGTGTCGGACGATGCCAATTTCTGCGCAAAAGTTGGCATACAATGTGGACACGATCGCGGAGCTGGGGACTTACAACTTCAACGCGCGTATTCGAGATTTTCGCGGCTCTAGGTTCGTTTAAACATCTTCTATACGATGGGCATCGTAGATTGTTACCAGTTCTTACGGCAGCACACCAGACCTGTCGAGATTTCATGAGGTACTTTGACGTACCCGGATTGGTTTTTATGTGTTTGAGGGAAGTTTTCAGGGTGCCCGTGCAACGGCATTTTTCCAGCCATTTCTGCCAGCACTCTTAGCGGCGTCGCCGTAGAATAGCCTCCTGAGTATACGCTTGTCACCCATCTCCTGACATGGCTGCCGCAGATGTATCTGCTTCAGCATGGCGTGCATACGCAGGACGCCGAGTCCATCCAGGTTCTCAATATCCGGCATCCTTTTCTCCACTTTACTTTCAAAAGTATGTGGAGGTAGTCGGCGTGTAAATGATAGTTTTCTTACTTGACTTCCATGTACAGTCCACGTCTTCTCCTGCGCATGAGCGTAGTCAGGACAGCAGTCCCATACATCCTCGGTTTCGTGCTAAGGAGGCTTTCGCGACTGTTGTTGACGGTCCGTCACAGTTGGCCAAGGGTCTGGCTATTTTTGAAGACCCGATATGTTACTTTTTCATCGCGCGGAGTCATCCGCAAATAACAAGTACTGGGTGCTGGCATCAGATACTCGCGAAAATGCTTGCACACGATGGATGTTGAACAGTTTTCTGTCGGACGGCAGTAAATGTCGATCCCCGGGCGCTCTTCATGGTAGGCCTTCATCGGCATAATGGAGGATATGAGACTGGATAGGGTGGTAGCGAGTATGCCACCCCGTAGTGGCCCAAGTCTAAGCGGATGTTGCAACGCTGAGCCTCTCACGACGACTACTTGTACGTACGCACTAAGTGCAGCCTGGTTTTCAGCCAATACCAGCTGTCCAAACTGGCCAATCATATTCGAGTTCGAGTCACACATGACCTCGCTGAAGGCGTGGACGACCAGCCCGCTGTCTCATATCCACAGACGCCGCTCTCGCGGTGTCGGACGCGCCCTCGCCTGACTGCCAACTTCTACCAACCTCTTCTCTAGTAGTTGCGTACAGAATACAACGTCATTTCAACTAGCGTCCTACTTCTTATCTTCCTGTTTAGAACTCTGCCTGATGGTCTTATTGGCTAGGGCCTTCCGATAACCTAAGCCGCCACGATAGCTCTGTAGCACCCCACTTTTCACCTTGAGTGCTTCAGAGAATGCCCTACTGTCCGTAACGTGCGCCATCATCTCGCGTGGATTTGTCGTAGCACTTTTGTTAATCGCCAGGTACATCCGGATTTCTCTCCAGAGTCCATAGCTTTCCACGGTGTCCGGGACCCCCATCAGATCAACGAGGCAATGCAAGTCCGTTGTAACGCATTCCCTGGCACTTTTTGTGGCTGGCTGTTTACGAAACTTATGTTCGTTTCTCCTCGGTGGGTTCAGAATACACATTGCCTTCCTAGAAGGAGTCCCTGATCCAGATGCGTGTTCAGACGCCTGGAGTTTTTGCCGGAAATGCTGAAGGAGATGCCCCTGTGGTTGTCACAGAGCTACCAGTCTCACTTGCATTTGCATGTGTACGATGGTGGAATTATTGCAGTCTTGGGGAATTTGTCCTTATGCTCAGATACCCTGGGAGGATGAATTAAGCTCGTCGATTAATTTGTAAATTCCGTCCAAGACTGCACCGGCGCCCAGTGTGGCAGTGACTGACTGGTGGACTGAGGTTCGAGCTAAATATTCCCTTCCTAATGTGACCAGAGTAGCGCTCTCACGACAGTGTGGTCTGAGTTGCCTATCCCCTTCGTGTGAAAGGCTGGTGTTCAGCGGGGGTTGTGTGTGGCAAGATGGGCGGGCTGTTTAGCTATGTCAGTTACATGCGACCAATCCTAAAATCAGATGGCTGGTCGGTCCGGATAGCGGACTGGCAGGCTGGACGGGAAAAGAGAGCGAGATCGACTCTGGGAAATCCGTCTGCACGACACTTCAGCGCACTTCCCTACTATAAAAAAATTGACACGCTTTCGAAATAACACGGTGCGCTAAAAGTCATGACTTGGAGGGCTGAAAACTGAGGGAATAACTCGACCTTCCTTCCAGTACGGGGTGCCAGAATGAAATGACTCCTGAAGGCGGCATCTGTGGCGCGTCCACTCAGTTTGGATCCGAGCCGACCACTTCTTGTTTGTGTGTCTAGTCCATCGTGCGCGAACCAGGCGTATGGCACGCATAGACGGGTTGTTTAGCTTTCCCAGGCACAGCGGCCTATCCTGCTTCGGGTCTTCCTGACTCTGTTTTGGCACCGAGCATAGGAGGGTCAGGGGGAAGAGTTCCGCCATGGCGCGCACGTCTGCCACCACTATAAACTACCTTACGCGCAATTTACCGTCCGTGTGCCCACTTTACTGTGGGACACACGGTGGATTTCGTCGTCTACGAGTTCGAAGTGGCATACGTGGCAGGGTACCTCCGAAGGGGTATTTTCGTGCAACGGTCATTCAACCGTATTGACGAGTCCAGGGTGATCGTACAGCTGCAACGTGAGTCTCGCCAACGTCCCGTACACCCCTCATAGTGTCGGCTATGCGATCAAAAATCGTGTCCCAATGTCTTTCAAGCTAGCCACTTGCGGAATCCGGGGTCGGCATCACTACTGTATGTCCTTCATATCCCCTCGTGCATCAGCAGAGCCGCAGAGCACAAGCTGTCAAGTAAGTACAACTATGACTATTTTTATTCACTTGCCCTTGAGCATAATTCCAGTAGAGCGCGGACATATCGGTGGATCCACTTAGTCTGAGAAAGAGAATCGAATATAACAACTTACTGGACGTAGATTAGCGCAGTTATGGACAGCCAGGCACTACTAGTCAGGGGCTATTTTAAGGTCAGTACGATCAATCTGAGCCTCACTAAGACCTCGCATCTTATGTCGATAGCGGTTTCGCAGATTTCCGATCCGACGACCTTTTGCGCATTTAACCCACCTCTCGTGCATCGTCATTTACGCGGGCGATGCAGACCCCGCAAAGGTAGCTCTGGAAAGTCGGACGTGACCACACAAATGGCCAAACAGCTGGGGATGGACCTAATGGAAGTACTCGATAATCGCCAGAACAGTGCGAGGTTAGAGTGGTTAGACCGCTTACCAAGTTCTGGCTTCCTCTGCGTTGCCGTGGCCTCAAACTGGCGTAAAGGTGCGCACTCCAACATGTGTAACAACTTCAGGCATCAGCGTCCGGTCGGCTACTTCGCAGGCGATTTGCCACAGAACCTCCCTACATCACAATCTGCGCCCAACAATCGCCTTCCAGGTACCTGGACGACCAAGCTGCTATTGCCTGCGACAAGTTTACCGGCACGAACAACTACGTGCACATCCAAACGCGGAGACAAAACGCATGGACAGGGCCTCGAGAAGTCGGAGTCATCGTAGGGGCCAGGGACATTGGATGGGGAGCAGTGCAGACCGCTACTCTCTAGATGTCATCACTTACGCGGGAGGACAAAAGCCGACGGACCCATCCGGAAATGGCAGCTCTGATGCCTACGTAGACAGTATCAATAGGTAAAAACAGTAATAGGCGCCATATTTCTGGAGCCATGCGAAAACCACATCGGAAATCTGTAAAGTTCTTCCATCAGCCGGCATACTTACCAAACCCACGCATCCTGCGAATAAATGGGGAGCGGGAGGAGTGACATCTTGGCTTGGTGTCAGGTCTTCGAGAGCAGTCACTTACCACCATCTTATCATCAAACGGCTTCGTGACAAAGATCGGTGTTGACTAAGTACTGCACAGGCACGTTATACGCTCAGCCTTCAAAGCGCAAGGGGCTGCAGCCCTAACTTGTACACTACCATTGCCCTACCAGCGAAAGGTCAGGTCGGGTGAGGAAAGCAACAACAAACGCGCTGTGGCACAAATACCTGTCAAGATGAGTATTTCGGAACTGCAGTAGTTTTTTTCGCCCATCCCGGCTTAGTATTATGAGGAACACGGTAGGATCTACTCACACAAGACTGATGTCTACCGCTGGTCCCAAGAATGGCTGGGGGTGTGCAGACCTAAAACTTTACGGGGCAAGTGTCGGAGTGAGGTCATGACGAACGGCATAGTTTTTGCAGAGCAATCACCGAAGTCTTCGACCATTCCCACAGAGCACGAGAAAAAAGTCAAAAAGATAGGCGTGGTGGCGATTAAGAAAACATTCTTTTGCATTCACTAGTTGTGAATGGAAAATGTTTGTGGCTGAGACAGAATGGAAATATGCGCTACGAGTTTGTTAAAAAAGGGCTCCCCTGAGCCGTCAGCCTTCAGTGTTAGACATGGGACGATGGACGACTAGACGTGTCGCTGTGCCTGTGGGACGCTGCCCATGCGTTGCGGGTTCTGACTCGGATAGTGCACGCCCAGAGATGGCAGATCCTTGGCGATGTTAGTGAGGACAGCAGACTCGTTAGAAGGCCTCGTGGCGTCGGAGGTTCCTGCCTCTGCTGAAACACCACTCTCTTTTCGGAAACTGTCCACGGAAGAGGCGGTGGGTGCAGTCACCGCATCTACCCCAGAAGTGGTGGATGGTAGAGGTGGTGGTGGCGGTGGTGGCATATTGTTCAAAGCAGCTGCCACAGCGATTGCCGGCGGGGCAAGAGGCGGAGGTGGAGGGCCACGAATCAGCGATGAAGCTATGTGTTGGGAAAACAGAATCGCTCAATTATGTGGACGAAGCGACAGCAGACGACAATTCAAGAGGTTGTTAGTTCGGTAAAATAGGCATTAGAGTCGGATGGGCAAACAGACGCGAAGGAATTTAAGTCTGTTTGGCAAACTACCTGACTGCACTGGACGAGGGGCAACCCACGTTTTAAGGACGATGGCTTACTAACGTGATTTTCTCTAAAACCAATATCGGCAACGTATTTTTGTATCATATAGACTTGCAAGATGACCCGCGGAGATTCAGCTGCCCATTGCAGCGGTGCATTGGATCACTCGGCGTCCGATGAGAGTACCAAGAGTCTGTAAACACTTTGGGAAAGCGTACAACTAGGTCCTTATGGTTACAGTCATTCAACAAAAACCGTCCTTTCTGCGATAAAGGTTGTCTACGTCCTCTAATGCAGACAGTGAAGCAAGACGAACCAGAATCGACCTCTTGATAAACAACAGCAAAGATACGATCAGGGTTGAGAAGAAACTGATGCAAAGTTATTAGCTACATGTAGGGAAGTGAATACGATCATCAGACTGTGGACGATCGTGCTGTCGAAAGTTTTGAGTGGAGTTACTTGAGCTGGTCATCAGATAGGATAGACAGATATGAACAAGCACTTCAACTAATACCTAGGCCTGGACTGTCATTCACAAAAAATAGCCAACGATTTTAGATTAAAAAACATCGTCAACCAAAACTCAAGACTCTTTGGAAACTTTGAGTGGGACGCTGTACAGGTTCGGCAAAGGTGACACACCAAGAGGCTAAGAAGGAACAACGGCAGTCTATGGGTTTCTCCGTCAGTTAAGTTTTAACACGACTTACTGAGACAGGGCAAATTAATATACGATGAGCACCGCAAGTGAGGCAGGCGTAATTAAAATGTGCTTCTTACCTCCTGGTGGTGGCGGTTCCGCAACTGGTGGGGCAAGCTGAACAGTTCCGAGGGAAGTGATAGAACTGAGTTCACCGACTTTCACGAGGGGCGGAGGTGGAGGAGGTGCTGAAAAGTAGCCCCCAAGCATGGGAAAGACAGAGGACGTGGAGGGAAGCAGAGATGGCGGAAGGGGGGTCGGAGGTAGTGGCAGGCCCGGGACGGGTGGCAAAGACTCCACCTCGCCAGTCCCCAATAACGTTATGCCGGCACTAGCAGCTGCCAGGGCCGCAGGAGATTTGCCCCAGTTCACAGTCAAACGATGACCACGCAGGATAAGACGATCATAACTTCTTTCGGCGGCGCGCTCAGCAGATTCTCTCGTGGTAAACTGCAGGAATGCGCAATGCTGCTTGTGGTGAACACTGACAGAACGAAGTTCACCAAACTGGTAAAAGTGATCCCGCAGATCCTTCTCCGTTAGTTCCTCGGGAATTCCTCCGATGTAAAGGGTGGTGATAGTCCTGTCTTCCGGTGGCGTGAGTTTAGGCATGGAGGAGTACTTGGAGAGCAGCTTGGCAGCCACGGGATCGTCCTGACCATAGTAACGATCACGCAGATTTTGCTCCGATAGTGGATCATCCGGATCAGTGGGTTTTTCATGCCTGTATGGACATTCCTCCCCACGTCTACACTCACCCTTGACCCAGAAAGAACAAATGTGAGGTCTGTTTCGGCGATAGTAGGGCGTCGTACGAGCTAGTTTAAGAAGCATGTCTGCACCACCGGCGCCAGATCCATGAAGCGCTGCATTTGTACTGGCTAATGACTTCCCAATCAGATCATGACCGCCATACGGTGCAGTAACATCACCAGCTAGCTCCAGCTGCTGTTCAACTTGCTGATGGAAATACTCCCGATTCACATCGCTACGGGGTAGTTGTTGATTAAGACGGAGCGCTTTGTCTCGGACTTCAACGGGTAATCCATATTCAAGATCAAAAATGCAGGTCTGGCAGACGTTCTTCACCTTGGCACAGGTCTGGCAGATCTCAGTCTTCTTGAAACGAGCCTTGGGCCCTGGACTCCAGCGAAAGACTGTAAATGGACGATTGCAGATCTTGCACTCCCTCCCGTACCGCTCCTTCATCATTCTGACGAAAGGGCTCGGACCGAGGCATGTTTCGCAGAGGATTGGGAAGGACTAGAATATGTCGATAAGAGGCCCTTAGTCGGGAGAGATTCAGCATAAATTCTAAAATAGGAGTGTCAGCAACTAAACTGATGGAAGCCCAATGCGTACAACTAACGGAAGGCTAGAATTTGACATAGTGCGTTCATAGAGACAAATTTGTCAAGGACTAAGACGGGATGCGAGGCACTTACTACTTATAAGCCTTTCGGACAGCACCAATGGTGGTGTAGCATAAATAAGTACAAGTAACAAGTAATCATCAGCGCGCCCCACCTAATGATGCGTCCCGAAATGCTAACCGTCACTATGTGGGGCAGGAGTCAAAGTCGAAGTTCGCCAAATTTATGGCGTTCCTGTTCGATTTGCTTGTTCCTTTCTCCTATTATGCAGTCCTTCAGCATTAAATTTCCAATAAGGCAAAACAACTTGGAAGACAAACTACAGCCGAAGATCGCCCTGCGCTATTTCACATAGGACTAAAAATAAGTTCATACTCGAGTATAATTGCATGGCAGGCCTGTGTGCGTCAATGGTTGCACGACGCCAAAACAGGAACTAAAGAAAGTTTGGTGGTGGCAGACACAGAGGATAAGTTTTACCGTTCGACCCCCATCTGGATGACTTTGTTCCCGAAGCGGCCATATATTTTGAGAAAAACGGACGCCAATGATGCAATGACTTCCACGATAGCTAATGATTCGCCTTTTGAGGTTCGGCGGTATCCGACTTCCGTACAGTTCGATAGAACTCTTTTGGCCGCTCTCTTGTCTTTGTCGGCAATGTTACTCTGCCTTTTGGTTGCTACGCATTCGTCGCTGTGTGAACAATGGGGTCTAAGGAAATTTGAGTTTGATCGGTAAAAGCGATGGACGTAAGCAGTAGACGAAACTTTACTCTGCAGTTTTAGACTTCATCGGGATGGCTGACCTAGCCTAGAAAGTTAAAAAATTCCTGAAAAGCAGAGATTAAGCATGCTTTAGCATCCGCCTCTGAGGGGTTATGAACACCTTCAATCGGCTCTTTCGTGAAAGATAACTGGTAACGAGCCTCCATACTTAACAGAAATTAATGGACGTGTTGGTGGTAGATGGAAGATACTGAATTATTGCTCCAACAATAAAAACCTGTCAAATAGAACCCCGTGAAGCCGGTACTACCTTCAGCAACCATAGTACTAACAATTTGAGCATACGTCCCGATATTGCTTTTTACAACGCAACGCACGGCTCTTCGGAATACAATTGTCGGATTCCCACAATCAACTGCTCCACGGAATCTCTTGTTCTTATCAAAATCGACCATTATTTACGCTAGCTTAGTGTCAAGGAACAACATAATGATAATGGGGACGTGACGCTACGCGAAACCTGTTATGGTGACCTGTAAGCACGGGCGAGATCTTATATATAAGGGCTCTGTGTCTATTTGCGGCGGTTGCCGGTATTTTCGACACCTACCGAAGAAATGGTTTCAAGCGCGAAGCCTGCACAGTGCAGACGGAAAAGTAATAGGCGTTACCTAGGGGTGAACAGCATATTTCATGCAAAAAACTGTGGACGGGCCATATATGTGGGTGTTCTCGAAAGGGAGGATAAGTTCTGTTATCGATCCGAGCATTTCACTTCTAAAGGTGCCTATCTCCAGATTTCGTGACCAGCATAACAGACCGCCACTTCAGCCAGGCAAAATATTCAGCTACTCATTGCTGGCATGAGAAGGTGGTCCAAACAGGCGTGTACAAAGGACGGTAGCATCAGTATAATCCAAGACCCATAGACTATAAATAGTTAAATCACGTACAGGGAACCGACTGTCGCTGTCGTATTCTGCAGCTTAAATGAATGGCAAACCCAGAGATACAAGCAGAATAAACACGGCTAGAAGATACTTCATCACAACCACAGACATACCGATAGACATTATCGGTGTAGGCCGTGCAAAGCGTCCTTAAACGAAAACACAGGAATTTAGTGAACAGGAGCCACCTGACCAACGCATCCGTGAGCGCTACCTTCGATGTAAGTCCTATGGCATGATATTCACTCGGACCGAAAGCGCTGTTTCAAGTCATATGGAAAACGGATATACAGCTACTCCCTAAAAACGTAATCGCTGCCGAGACGCCGAGGACGACAGTGAGACAGGAATAAGTTAACAGGGCGGAAGGGATGACGTATTAGGCGATCAGTCGTGAAAATAGGTGAGCGTCACTGAAATATGAATTCGTGCCTTATGGAATCGAAACATGCCATTGAAACGAGTTCTCATGATGATAAAACGACGTGGAACTGCACTGTCTTGATATGTAAAACAGTTGGCCACGACAGAATTCCGGCGTTACCGTAAAGAAACGATAACTGAAGCTCACGAAGAAATCATTACTTTAGTGCGCTTGCTTCGTTGGCCGGAACGGCAAGAAAATGCGTTTAGAGTCAGTGATAATTACTTAGCGGCATAATCGATGAAGTATTTGGAATTGCAGAGGCGTGAGATAAAAATCGAGCAGTCATGCTTTAAACACTATAGTATTCCTACCCATCATGTATATGACAACAGCGTAAATTTGCGTTGTGGCTCCTTTAGAAATAAATATAAAACGCATTTCGGCAAGATCCAAAGCTGCGAAATTTAAATCAAAAAAACAAGTAAAGAACTCTCCCACTGTCAAACTTACCGAATCTTCCCAGTTCTGGCGATTATATGTGTTTGAGGCCTTTGACGAAGTCATTTCAGGTTACGCGCGGAAAAGAGTGGGCAAGGCGGCTTAAACAAGGAAGCAGTCTTTTGAGTTTCTGCAGGAGCTTGGCACACTTCTTATATTTTCAACAGGAACAACTGTCCTGATTTGCAAAGCCTTCATACATCCAGCTGCCTAAGTAGTTTGCTATTTTCGTGGGACCTCTAGGTATCTAAGTAAGTAAGATGAACGCTACAAAGATATCAGTTTAGTATTTACCAAATAAAATGTTAAGATCTCTAAATGCGTGCCCACAACGACAATTTTCCTAACGTTTCAGCTCCCTGAGTGACGCAAGCACATGAAAAGTAGCCAAATTATGGCATTTTTATGCTTTACACTGACATAGTAGTCGTTCGAGGTATTTTCCCTCGACAGTACTGTAGGTATTTTTACCACCGCTTACAGCATTGCGCTGTCTTGTTCGCCCATAGTCGTGCAAACAGTGGGTGTCACATTGTATATGTTTGCTGAAATGTTTGTTGAGCGGCACTCCACATTGTACTGCAAATGTAAAATGGTCTACAACGTTCACAGCAGTGTACACCTACCAGATGATGTTAATCGTCATGGTCCATTTGACAGCTTTTATTCCTTTCCTTCCGAAAGTTATTTTGGAAAATTGAAAGGTTCGCCTTGGAAACCGTCGCATCCACTGCAGTAAATAGCACGTCGATTAGGGGAACTGCCTGCTGAGCGGCCGGACATAGGCGAACCGTTCGATTTGAGTTTTTATAATGAACACTATGACGGTCCTCTACCCCCCCAACTGGTGGGCCCTGTAGGCAATTTAAGTATATGCAGAAAATCAGGACTCTTATAGGCACGTCACAGTGGACGGTAATTTAGTTTGTATTCAGAATATCGTGTGTTACTCTTGCGGGGGTATACGATTAGTCTATGTTGATTACGACAACACTCATGATTATTTTGATTTTCTTGCTAAATGATCGAGGTAAAGTTTTTAAAGCCACCTTGGGGATCGTATTCAACACCTGCCCATTGCGTCGTTGATACACAAGTACGCCTGCTTCTCAGCTGACGATCACTTCGTCCTTATTCAAATCAATGCGATGGGATACCGATTACTGGCAACCGGGACTGTCCGTGAAGTTTGATGTCGACAACGGAGACTTCTTGACATTTAACAACTGCGTCGGACGGCGACTTTTCTTCATATTGTCCCATAATAGTTTTTGTCGTACTGCACCTCTCACCGTATATCGGTCACTGTCCAGGTGTTCTACAACCCAACAGTCCCAGTTATTTATTCGTGGGCAGTGCAGGGAGATAGTGCTTACATATTGGAAGTTAACCTAATCCCCTCCTCCTTTGTTGGGTCGTAGATTACTATGGCTGACGAGGACAATAACAACGTCAATACGCGTCCAAAGCGGAATTCACAATTCACTTATGATCCAATACCATGGGATATAGGACCACTGCCACAGCTCTCATCAGCGGTGAGGGGACGAATTCGTTTCCACTTCAGGAATTAGTATAATAGGTCATTGACTCTAATGATACTCGACCTGGAGGAATTTCAACCCTCGGGAAGAGAGGAGGGTAAACATCAGTGTCTTCAGTGACCGCATGTTCGCTGACTCATTCTACGACGAAATAACGCATTATCTTCTGTAGCAGGCAACAGGGGAAGAGGCACTTTTGTAGATCTGAGTAGGTAGTGTATACTCAATTCACATGCGATAGGTTTCGTAGACGTATTTACCAAGTGGAATGCCGATCAGCGGTCTGACTGCAAAAAGCTTGAGAAGGCCTTCAACAACGCATTCAAGAATGCCTATGATCGGTTGCATAAAAGTAGGCAGAAGATGCTGAAAACGCGCTATATGGATGGTGTACTATGGGAGCCGAATCGACCTTGTAGCAGTCCCTATCACACAGTGTAGAACACCCTGCTAATGTTAATAAACAGTAAAGACCTGATCAGTTTAAGTCAGTTAAAAGAATGCAACCTCAAAAATTCTAAAAGTGGACGCTCATGGCGGAAGTTCTTTCTTTCTCAGAGCCTGTGACTTGAAGAAGTGGTTGCAGAATTAAAATACAGACAGCAGGGTGACGAACAGAGCTTGCCTATGGGTGAAAGCGATAACATTTTAAAACACAAAACATTGCCATGGAACCAACAACTGAGACCAGGTGCAGCATCAGCTGTCCAGGAGACGCTCACGGTGCTGTAGAACTACCTGTTTAAAACTGCGTTAGGAGCTGATAAACAATTTTCAATAAGCTACCGAGTAATAACGGAACAGAGGAAGTCTCGAAATGCTCTCGCAAATGGAAGCTATCAACCGAGCTGTCAAAGTCTCTTTCGACTCTCTTTGAGCTGTCAATGAGAACAAGAAGGCTGCACTCGCAGTGGAAGACAGCTAACCTCGTTCCCTTACATAAGTGTGGTAGCAGGATGGCATTAAGCAGCTTCAAGCCTTTAGCTGAACTTGCCTCTCATGCAAAACGATGGAAGCTCTAGTAAAGACTGTTATACAGCAATATTGTGAAGAAAATAACATCTTGCAGGATTTTCAGCATAGTTTCCGGAGAGGACCATCCCGTCTCTCAAATCTGCTAACTTGTCTCGAGAGCAGCCCCAGGGCCATAGAGGAAGGTTTTGAGGTGGACGTCGTGTACATCGGCTTCCTCAAAGCTTTCGATACTATTTCGGCCCAACGTCTTCTTCACAAATTGAGCGCCAATGGCATCCGGGGAGATCTTCTGAGCTGGATAAAAGCATTTCTGTTTGATTGGAAACGACATGTCTGTATCGGAGAGGATATGTCAGACTGCGTGAACGTGACTAGTGGTGCGCCTCAAGGCTCAGTTCTAGGAACATTGCTCTTCATACTTGATGTTGGTGACAGCCTTCAGAAACTCCATTACGGTAGAATAATGTTTGCTGATGACGTTAAGCTCTGGCAACTCATTAAGAGTCCTTACGACCAGAGAATCCTTCGGAACAACCTGCGCCGACAGCAAGCGCGGTCGGAGGAATAGCCTCTAAATTTCAATGTGCAGAAATGTAGTCCTTCATTTGCGTCCAACCAACTGTCACTCAAAGGAGAGCCTGAGGACATATCACATGAAAGATATAAGACTACCCACAGGATCTTCACGGAAGGATCTCGGTATTTGGATACAGAATGACGTTAAACCAGCATTGCGGTGCAAAAAAGACTGCAAAGAACGCCGTTGAAGTGTTCCATGCAATCAAATGGGCGTTCGTAACCTCTAACGAAGACCTTTTTGGAAGAGTTTACGGCACTTTCGTTCAGCCTCATTTAAAATATGGCACACAAGCTTGACGGCCATGGCTTGTAAAGGTCAAAACCTGCATTGAAAGAGTACAACGTCGTGTAACAAATCTGCTCAACGGTTTAAAAAGCATTCCTACATAGAGAAACTGAATTGCCTTAATTTATTCCGTATGTGTTACAGGCAGCAAGGAGGTGGTCATATCTCCGTCTCCAATATAATACATGGCCTTGAGCATGGACTTAACTTTGAGGACATGTTGCAGTGGCACGTTTTCTCCAATCTTCGTGGTCACTCGATGGAGCTTCAATCGAATATGTCCAGGCTATATCTTCGTTCTCAACTTTTCACGCAAAGGGTAGTGGAGAAATGGAACGATCTCTTTCAGTCGGTTGTGGAGGCAACGTCCCTGCAACTCTTCAAGAAGAGCTTATATTATTATTTGTGTCCCTATCTTCCCTTGACAGTCTGAACCTGAAGTAAATACTCAGCGACGCCAGAAATTTTTCTCTGAAACAATGCTACCCAAAGGATTCTAGTACTGAATTAATAGCGAATATTTTAATTGTTCGTGTGCAGTTATTTCTAACGAGCTGACATGTAATCAATAGGGTTTTCAAGGGCCTTGCCTATTATCCTTACCAAATAAACTGAGACTTCGAGCCTGTGATATAGGTCAGTGCTAATATTAGTAGTACGGCCAGATTACCAGCTATCTTGAACTAATGTTATTATACTGAAAGGCCCAGAATCTGTTGACCAAACACAATAAATCAAAATTTGCCTACCCAGACTCCATGGATTTCACATAAACGGTGAGGAGATAGGGTTGTCCTGATACAAACCATTTAGGAGGGTCATTGAAGAACGATAAGCTGTCAGAATAATCACGAACTTGAAAAAAAATGATAGTGTTGGGAACGGCCGCTGAGCTTATATGCTGCAGGGAATTTAGTTGGTCGACTGGGCGTCGCGCCCACGATGAATATTCATCGTGGGCGTGCGTACTATATGATACACACCAGAAGATGCCTAGAGCACTGCTCATACGCAGTGTTAAACATCTATCGTTGCTCGCCGCCTTCTACGTAAAGTGGTTATGACACGTAAAGGGCAAAACCATTCTAGGTTAGTTTGTTTTAAAAAAGCTAGGTGATATCGACGGCGTCACCATCCTGTCCGATGGTGTCCAATCTGATCAAATAGTGCTTTTGGGTTATTTTACCTTACCTTTAATTCCTCACACTGAAGAGCAATTCAAATCTGCCCCTGCCGCGCGTGTCACGAATCAGGTAAGGGATGTTTGCCTGTCGCTGCGTGAGCCACCAACACCACCCAGCATAGGCAATGGCAGCGAAGGATTGGCTTACCAAGCGCATATAAGGACTTTTGCCAGTCAGCGAACTGACGTACGTGCATCAGTCCGGCTGAGATTGGAACAATTTACAACCAAATATGTGAACTGTAGGGATAACCTGACACATCAAAGTCTTCTTTACACAATAAGTTAACGGAAGTGATTTGGAGAATCCCTCTGAGCTCGGATAAATGCAAAAGCGAGAACCATCAAAGTCTACCGAAGGAGGGAACCAGGACTACATGGGACGACATACAAATAGCTTTGAGTATCCAAAGAAAGCTGCAGAACAGAATGCTAGCACGAGAAAAAGGGGGACGAACAAAATACTAAAAGTTGTAGCATTGTCAAAGGAGGTGACACC